AAAAGGAAACAAAGTCTTTGTAAATAGGGAGGGATGGAGGGGTTGAAGGGAGGGCAGGGGAAGGGAGAAAAAATAAGAACCGAGAGAGATTATGTAAAGGTGCAAATTTCCAATGATGAATGTAGTATACCTATGGTATACCTAAAACGTACCAATAAAATGATTTAAAAAAAAAAAGATGCTTACTCTGAATGAGGGCTATGAATGGACTTTGGGGGACAAGAATGGAAGCCGGGAGATGTGAGGAGAGACCAGCCCTGGGGCGAGGGCAGCGGGGCAGGTGCACCGGGTGCAGCCAGACTCTGAGAGTCCGAGGCTGCGGGCAGAGCACCCTCCGCTTGGTTAGGGGGACTCATCTTCCGGCCAGCAGAGACAGCGCCTGTTCCCACGCCCAGCACCGCGCACTGCGCATTCCTAGGCTTTGCCACACTTGTGGGGAAGAGCAGCAGTCAGTAGCAAATGGGGGGATATTAGCACTGGAGGACCGGCGCTAACAGAGTTGAGCCGCATTAGGAGCTTCAGGGCCACGTTGCCTGGGTGTGCATTCCAGGCCCACCCCTCCCTGGCTATGTGCCTCAGTTTCCCACCCTTGAAACGAGTCCAGGGCACACGGCGTGGCGCGCAGGCGTGCGCTGTGCAGTGGCAGCAGCAGCAATCCTGCTTCCAGTGAGAACTAAGGGGAACCGAACCGTGCACGCAGTCCCGGCTCTTGGCTCCGGACAGAGCGAGCAAAAACCAGGGGAGCAAAGAATTCAGATGACCTCGGGTTTTGCTCTTTGATTTGCTTGTTGTCAGTTTGGGAAGGATCAGCAAGCTGGGAGCGAGGTCTTAATCACAACGGGATCTGCCAATCCAGAGGAATCTGTCCAATTCAGCTAAAGGCCTAGGAGCAAGGAGCAGAAATGAACATTAAATATTAACTTAGCATCAGGACTACAGCCTCTCTGATGACACCATTTTTTTGCAAATTACAGGGGAATGGAAGACAAAACCCTCTTCTCAGATATTAAGCCATTTATCAGAAAAGTATTTAATATGAACACAAAGGTACAATGGCTGTACTTGAACAGAGTCTCCGGCATTGTGCAGTGCACATTCCACTCAACTGTACACATCACCTTTCTGGCTCTGGCTGAGCATTTGTTTTCCTATGTTTAGGCAATGTTTTGCATATTCTTCATCAGGAAATGTCCTCCACAAGAGAAAGGACAATCATCTAAGCCAGCAACCCTTCCTGTTGTGATAGACTGGAAAATTCTAATCCTTATCAGATTTTAACATAAATTTCTAAAAATTCACTTCGCAGGAGATCTGATTACTACAATTTGCCAAAAGGAGCCTCATTGAAAAAAAAATCAAGTTGTTGAAAAGTAGGGAAGGTTAATGGGACCTAATGCTGGAGAAGCAATGTTAGAAATTTTTTCATTTTGAAATTAACTTCTGGAGAGGTTTCATAAAACCTGAGAGGCTTCAAAACCCTCTGTATCCACAGGGGTCTATAGAAGCACATGACAGGGCTCGAAGTAGTTTGGCTGAAACAAACACAAACTAAACTTCAGGTCTGAGTAGAGCCCCCCCCTCCCAATTATTTTCCTTTCATCACAAAATAGAAACCTCTTTGTTTCATGTATCCAGCTGAGCACCCACAGGCACACATTCTGGGCTGGTCCTGGCTAAATGCAGAGAAATCCAGTGGGCTGGTTTCAAGTCTGAGCTGCCGGGCCGTCAGGAATTCATCACCAAACTGCCGCACAGGTCCTCCTACAGTGCTTTTCATTGCCTTGTGGTACCAAAAGAAAAGAAAAGAGCCGGCATTGTTTATGAGAAGGCTGTGAAACAGATATTTGATTCTTTTTTTCCTTCCAAATCCTTTATAAGCAATGGGAGCAAAGGATGGAGGAAGAAAAAAAAAAAGAAAGGCAGTCACTTCAGAAGTGTCAAGCAGAGCAGGAAGGAGGATGGACAGAATAGAAGGCAAGAATTAAAAGATGTAAGAAGAAAGAAAGGAGAGAAGAAAAACAAACCTCCAATCTCCATTCTAAGCCTAAAATGTAAACAGACACTAGCTTGGAGTGCATTATTGTTTTAATTTTTTGTCCTTAAATGGCAAGTGCTCACATCTTGGTAAGCTATGACACCCATTTTTCCCATAGAATAGCCCTAGAGTCATCGAGACTTGCTGTCCCAAAGCTGTGCTATTTAGATTTCTATCAGAACCAGAATTTTAGTTTCTGGTTGACCAAAAGAGGAGGTAAGTTAGAAACTGTCTTGGCAAAACCCAAAATTCTCCCCATACTTCTCTGTTCCCAAGGCCTGAACTAGGATCAACCAAGAACCTAAGGTGCAAAATGCAAGGAAGCACCCATCCTGGGGACCAGTCCTGCACACAAACAGAGCCGTCCTGAGCGCCTCCTTCAACGTACAATGTACCGCCCACCCAGGGCCTCAGGATCTGCCACCAGCTCCTGGGCAAGTGCTCCTCAGACCTGGCAACTGCCCAGCGCTTTGTCTCTCACTTTCGGTGAAACAGCCATGGTGTTCCTTTCCCTTGTGAGTCTGCAGCCCAACTGCCCAAGCCTAATCCTCATCTCCTTTAACCAGGCCTCTTCTGTCTGTGGGCATCTACAGCCAAATTGTAAGTGGCCACCAAGAATTGTATAGTTGAAGTACTTTTTGAACTACTTTTGAAAATAATCCAGCAAAAATTTTTTTTTTCTTTTTTACTCTGTGAAACTAGGTAACCACGTTTAAGGACACCATGCCTTATAAACAAACCATCCAAAGTTGTATCCAAACAGGTTTTTATCTAAGGGTTACAGGGAGCCTAACAAGGTAGTCTTTTCTGCGGAGTCATCCACTGGATTATTAGTTTAGATCCTACAAAGGTCCACTGAGGGGACTGCAATGTAGCGGAGTGGCCTGCTGTGGTCTTGCTTTAGTCACCAGAGCAATCCCTTCCCCACCCTCCTCTCCTCCCTGCAGGCAATAGCATGAAGCTGGGCAGCTCTTGAGGAAAGAGGGGTAAAAACACCATTCAACTGTGCTGGGACTGCAAGGTCTCTTTGGAATGGACAAAATGCAAGGGCCCAGTGCAGATCTGCAGGCCCCTCGGGGGCAGGTGGGCAGAGTTGTCTCTTGGTTCAAGGGTCTTTCTCCTCTACCCTGGCCAAATCCCCACAGTGGGCTCTCAAGCCTGGCGCCACTCCTGCTATAAACAGCCTCTGCATTCTGAACACAATTCTCTATTTGGTTTTGTTGGTGACAGCAACAGCAAATGCTATGGAGTAAATCAAAACTGCCTGAAAAATATCAGCTTAGCCTTTCAGAGCTTCAAGGTAATCAAGGACCCATTGGCACAGGTGCCATCTGTGGGTCTCACAGAGATGAAATCTTGGTGCTGGGGCCGGGGATTTAGCTCAGTGGTTCCGCCACCTGCCTCGCAACCACAAGGTCCTGAGTTCCATCACTGGTACCAAAAACAAAACAAAAAAATCTTGGTGCTGTGTCCCAAGATGTCTCTACTTCTCAGGTAGGGTCCCTGTCCCAGATAAGACATTGATGGTCACAGCAGCAACTTTCCAAGGTGAGATGGAGAATAAGGACAGGAGTGAAAATGTGCCTGGCACAAATACTGCCTCATTTATTTCCCAAAGAGCCCTGCCAGGTACATTCTTGTGTCCCCATTTTGCACAGGAAGCTGAGGATCAAAGAAGTTATATGACTTTTTGAAGGGCACTCAGTTTAAAAAAGGTAAAATAGGGCCGGGGATTTAGCTCAGTGGTTCTGCTTCCTGCCTCACAAGCAGAAGGACCCAAGTTAGATCTCCAGTACCAAAACTAAAAAAAAAGGTGAAATTAAAAATGAAAACCATGTCTTCTGGTGCTATGGAGGAAAAGAAATGTATGCAGTGCCCCATGTACAATGAGAAAGAACTGTGGGCCATTCAGCACACTAAAAAGTGAACACCCCATCTAAAGAAATTCAAAATTTTAAAAATGGGAAACATTCTGCTAAAGAGACAGGATGCTTCCGCATATGGATTCAGGGCACCAATTTTCAATCATGTCAGGTCCCTGCTCAAATCTGTAGGCTTTACTCTCTTCAATACTGATTCAAAGTCAAATTCATTTCCTTATTAGTTTTCTTTACCAATCACCGCTCTTTTGCATCCCTTTAATTTCGTGTAAATTATCTGCCTTTGTGTTTTGTGCACCTCAGTTGAAGGCAAGAGTTTATTTATGTTTCATAGCTCAACTTCACATCAGTTCCCCACTTCAAATTTAGTTCACCGAAACCTTTTAGGATTTATAGAGTACAAGTCTCATAAAAGGACCATTGTTTGATAAAAAGTTCTATTATGTGTGTATAGATTTATGTCACTGGCATCTTTAAAAACTCTTAACAATAGGGCAGAAGTTAATTTTCTGCATCCCCATCATTTGAAGGAAAGAGAAACATTCTGTTGCTAATTTGCACAAATACAAATAAACCATATGGCTTTCTGAATGACTGAGTCACTGTGACACCCATTGCTCACTTGTCTCCCAGAAAGCTATCAACACAGGGAATTAACCTTCTTGACTCCAGTCCTGTCCTCTGCTGCTCTCTACTGGAAAGAAGGGATATAGCTCACAGTGGGGTCCAAAATTCCAACCCCCTCCCGGAATACCAAGAGTAGTCACAGAGAAACTCATTCCTGTCTCTGGAGGTGCTTGTAGTATTACAGTGATACAATAATAAAAACACAACAGATTACAGGTTTTCTATTTCTATTATGATAAGCAAAGTTTGTCTTGAAGTAAAATATGAAGGGAGATAAACCGGAAAAAAAAAAAAAAAGAAAGAAGAAGAAAGCAAAGCTGGGAGGAAGCAAAATGTGATCTTTACACCAAGCAGTTAAAACGTTGCTTTAAGGCCGCCATTCCACGCTCCTAGGGCAGAAAAGATGAGTCATGTGGGTACCAGAAGACACGTAAACAAGCCTCAAAAACAAACTTCCAGATCACCTACAGCAACCCCAAGGGGAAATGAGATGGAGAAATCTGATACT